AATTTTCCATCCATCCATCCATTTTCATCCGCTTATCCGTTACCGGGTCGCTGGGGCAGCAGTCTCATCGACCACCACCCAAATCACACTGCAATACTACAATAATGTACCTCAGAATTACATGAATCTCACGATGGCTCTGCAGATAACGTTTCAAATTTGTCATGCTCTTTTCTCAAACAGTCCTTCCACACAATTTACGGAGTGGTCTGGCTTTAGCTGATATTAAACATAAAATAAGTCTACATATCTATCCTACCGGAATAGTTTTGGTCACAAATTGCCTGTCGAATTCCCATTCCTCGTTTCATATTGTCTTCCGTTTAGTGTTTTCTTTAATACAGAAGATGCTACAGTATCTGATTGGATCTCTGTTGTCTTCTTGGCAACAAACACTGCTTTGATTGGCTCTCGCCCCAATTCCCGATCCTTGATTACAGCTTTTTCCCATCTGCTATTGGTCTTGTCAACATACAAAAAGGCTCTCACTGACCCCCCCACACCCACCTGCACATGCACACACACACACACTCCTGTACTTGTTGTATATTTACTTTTACTACTACTACTACTTTACTACTTTTATTACTCTGTCCATCCATAGGCATTATTTATTTATCAACAATTTTATACCTCCATGTACATTTTCTTTGCTGCACTGTATGCCACAACAAATTCCTAGTAGGTGAAAACCTACCTGGCAAAAAAAACGTTTCTGATTCTGAAGAAAAGTTTCTAATATCTATACAAAATTAAACCAAAAAGTAATAGCAAACAATGGTTTAAGTTTTCAGACAACATTCACTGGACATAAGTTAATTTTCTGTGTGACAAATGAATAATAAAACGTTAACATGTGAATTTAACAAGACTTTAATAGTTGGTTTATTTTTTTCGAATGATGTACACACGACGGACAGAATCGTAATTAAAAACATTTGACCAAAGTTTTTCTTTTTAGAACAGCATTTTATGACTCAGCTGACACTAGACAGAAACACACAGCCATCACAGTCTGTTGTCGTGTGTCAAAGTGTGTGTGTGTACATACAGACACAAAAAACAGACACGCATACTGTAGCGTCGACGAAGGGCCCGAGTGAAATTACTCAGAAAAAGAATGTAATTAATCAACAGGGAACAAGAGTAGAAGCAGCAGTATTGTCCCGGTGTGTTGTTTTAGCCCTGCTTTATCTCTGTGTGGGCTTCCCACATATACACCTATTACTCACCAGTGTTACCACACCGTGATTGTCACATAATCAGCATCACCTCACCTGAGGCTTCATCTTAGGTGGCCGTGGAGCTTAAAAAGCAGAGATGAGAAGGATGAGATTCAAAAAAAAAAAAAAAAAGTGGCCGAGAGCAGTCAGGTCACTGACACACTAACACCTGAGCTCAGTCTGTCACTCTAACAACACTGTCAACACAGCTCACAAAACCCCAGTGACGAGTCACTGGGAAAACACACAACTCGACGCTAAAGAAAACTCTACAAGGAGAAAGACAACATTAACATAGTTTGTTAATGTATCTCTCCTGCAAATCAGACAATTCAATCCACGCAGACAGGGGGAGGAGGAAGGAGATTTAAATCTGCATTTTTACGCTGCATTTGAACTGAAAACAAACCCCAAATAGTGGTTCAAACCCGCCCCCTTGATGAAGAAAACGACAAAATCGAAGAGGTTCACGTCTCCTGGATTGACGTCACCGGGGCCCCACTCTGGAGCCAGGCCCGGGGTTGGGGCTCGCAGGCGAGCGCCTGGTGGCCGGGTCCTTGCTCACGGGAC